TTAGCTTAATGAAAGGGTAAGTGCAGGCATTTCTGATCATAATTTACGGAGCAAAAACCTGATCAACCGCCAAGAGTTAAAAGTTGAGATCAAAGAATGGCCCGTCGCCTCAAAGATCAGCCACTATCGTGAACGTGATCACAAGCGTTGTAAAACTCCTTGAAACGGTACAGTGTTTGCCCCAGACGGGATCACACCAAGGTGTGAACTGACCGATGCGTTTCTTTTCCCCAAACATCGCACTCGCATCTGACCTCACCACCTAAACTTACATCACTCCCTGGGTGGGTAGGGCCTGCAAGTTCGCTCCAGGCGAGATCACATCAAACTGTGAACTCTTCCCTGACCATTGAAAGCAGTTTTTCCCGAATTTGCGAGACAACCTGAATTTTAATTAGTGTGGTCACATCGTAATGGTGCGTAATGACAAAGGAGGTTGGGGTGGGGGGGGGGGGGGGGGACTCAATCAGAGATGGAAAGCTAAAATTGTTGGACAGGTAAAGGGGAGGGGCAACTGGATAAGCGTAGATAAAGATCTCAAGACTCACGATAGGCTAATGAGTGTGTATATATAATATTATTTATGGCATGCCTCATGCCACTGTGATTGGTCATCAAGGTTGACCACTCTTTGCTTGCCATATGTCATAAATCCACCCAGGGGTCACGTCAGTTCATGGGTCACTGTAGATTCTTCCTTGGCTTCGTTGGCTAAGATCCCATATTTTCCTTGCTTCCGAGCACTGGGATCTTAGGCGGAGACTACTGCAGTAGAGAATCTTTGGTTACACTACACTTACTAGACTCTAGAAAACTATTGTATTTTGGTTTGCCGTTGGCGCCGTGGACTACACAGTGTGACCAAAATCTGTCAGACCACTATAATCAATTGAAACTGAAACTGTGTTCTCAATGTGTATCTAACAATTTTTAGGCTGCCTAAATTTCTTTTCAACTTTGTTTGGGTGGTTTTTGCTTAAGGCTACATTGATTCCTTGAGGATTTGTTAATGAAGAATTCAATGCACTTTTCCAATTTCTATGTGGGCCATTTTCATCAATTTTATGTTTTCTTAAGAGCAACTTTGTATCTACATTTTTCAATTTGGATACTCTTTCTGTAGAACTTTCCGACCTCTAGGACTGACTTTCATTTGATCACATTGTCTTGCTCAAACAAGTTCTATTCATAATATCACTTACCCACTAGTTGCGTCTGTTCATTTGGGTTGTTTTTTGTTCAACTCCACGAACCATTTCCACCGTTCAGTGCGTTCATTGTATATTCAAATGCTTTGTATACTGTTTACATTTTTAGTAATAAAGAGCCTAATTTGTCAAATATACTGGATAAGTTATAAAATATGATGTTTTGCATAAGCGCTGAAGTGTTTTAGCATATTAGCAGAAAGTACTCATAAGTACTTTTTTTTAAAGTACTTGTACTCAAGTACATTTTATAGGAAAGTACTTTTACTGTACTTAAGTACATTTTTTAAATTGTACTTAAATTTGTACTTAAGTACTTTTTTAAAAGTACTTTAACAGCTCTGATTAGGATTGCCAAGTTCTTGCAAAGGATCATTACTAGTACAATTGCAATTCAACAGGCCTGATCATCAAGTCGCTACCCTAGAACTGGACTAGAATTACTAAGTTCTCTCTGCTCAGTACCTGTTCTTGAGAAATTTGACGTTATAAAATTGTGAATTTCACAGTGTCCAGCTTTTGCGCATGCAATTATTTAAATGTCTTGATGACTCCGAGTGATTTTACAATTTTGATAGGGCAGACAGAACATTTTATGTTATTTTATGAATTTGAAAATTAAAAATTTCCTTTCTCCCTTGCTCCATTCAGGAGTCTGTTGGTGAAGAGGTTCTTCGTATGGCCACAGATGAAATTGTTGGACGAGCTCGTTTGCTTGATAATGAAATCAAGGTGAGTAGTGTGTTATAATGGAGTTATTAGTTTAATTAGTTTTTACCTTGCCCGTGACAGTTTCTTTGCTTTTCCCATTTAGACTTCTAGATGCATGGTGGAGTACTTTGAAAAATGATAATTATTTGTTGTTTTTTTGTTTTAGTTATTAGGGGAATATTTTTATGATCTTTTATACTTCAGTAAAATTTCAAGGTGGGTGGGTGGTTGGCGGGTTTTTCTGTTGTGGTTTGTTCTTTCTCTTCTATAAAACATCTATCGTAATTATCTCTCCTTGTTTGTGTTACTCTTTAGTAACACTTCTAATCGTTTGCACTTATGTGACCTACTTGTATTGCAATTGCAGTAATACACTGAACTGTGAAAGTTTTAAAGTTCTTGAAGCGTTACAACGTACACTTAAAATAAAAGTTCTTAGCAGATGATTCATGCTCATAGATGTTATTTGTTAAATAACCATTACAGATGAAGCCCCATGGGGTTTTTGTTTAAATGTGTACAACTGGCCTGCAGAATTTTTTTTCGGGGATGGGAGGGGGGGGGGGTGTGTTTTGTTGGTTTTTTTGTACTGTGATATAATGCTTTTGTTTCATTAAAAAAAAACTAGATCATGAGGTCTGAAATCATGAGGATATCACATGAGCTGCAGGCACAGAAAGAGAAGATAAAAGAAAATACAGAGAAGATCAAAGTGAACAAGACCCTTCCTTACCTTGTGTCCAATGTCATTGAGGTGAGTTTGTTTTTTTTACTATGTTCCTGCCTGCGCTTTGTATAAATATATTTGTAATTATAATGTAATAATAGTTTGTCCTTCAATGTTTGATGATGCAGAATGCATCTGCAGAGAAAAACATTGTGTAATCGAAATATATAAGAAATCAGGGCTTCCAGTCTTCCGCAATTTTGCGGCCGCAAATTAGCAGAATTCCGCAAATGGAAAAATTTCCGTGAAAATTCGTGCAAAAAATTATTATTTTAAAAAAATGCAAAATAAAAAATGTCCGTTATTACCAATAGTCAACAATAACCAACCCATACCGGAAGTGCTGTTTTATTTGAAAGTGTAGACAGTGTCTTTCACTTTCTAAAGCTCAAGAAGCAGAGCACCAGCTATGTAAACAAGAGGAAGAAATGACGATTGTGATTCAATAGATCTTGGGCCTGCCAAGAAAAGAAAACTCAAAAGAGAGCTTGATTTTTTTTACCAGACTTGTTTATTTGTAAGTTTTGTTGTAGATTTAAGTTGAATAAGCTGTCAAGTTATTTAGATCTAGACTAGATCTAGATCTAGATCTAGATCTAGATCAATGAATCTAGACTAGAATCTAGAGATATTAGATCTAGATCAAGTCAAGCTGTTATACTATTATTATAAGGATTCTACACCTTATGATGATTATGGTGCAAACCAACACTAGCAGAAAAAGGTTGAACATTAACTGTCAAGTTTTATAGATCTAGTTGTGGATGTACAGTATCTGTACAAGGGAGAAAGCATGGCTTTGGATTTGGAAATATATGGATTAACACAAGCAGAAAATTATGTAGACCTATGCAAAGTGTGTTTTATTTCTCACTTATTTTCTGTTAAATTTTGGCTTGAATAGCCAGAAATGGCATACTTAGGATGCTCTGAAACCAAAAATTCTCAAACATAAAGGGGACGCTGTCCCCCTTCAAACCCCGAAAATCCTCGAAAAATGACATCAGCTGCTGGAAGCTCTGAGAAAAAAGGATTAAAATGATTTGTGGCTTCTGCTATGGCCAATGAGACCATTTCTTGTGGGGTTCCCTCTTGGCATCTACATTTCTCATTTCTCGTACCTGTTATGATTTGCTGTCTTCTAGACTATTCTACCTTAAAGATTGTGAAATCAGGCATTTTCAGTACATGGCCAGCCTTGGAAAATCGAGTCCTTTTGAACAAGGAAAACACATTCTCATCATTTGCCTGTTTGAGAATTTGTAGAAGACATTTTTAATGAAGTTATTACTCAATTACCCCTAGCAGACAATGAGAGCGGCCAGTGAAACTCAGCCAGTCCCCAAATGGAAGATCCCAGCATCCGATAGATGGCAGAGTGCATGAAGTATTGCTGCTAATGCAATCTCTTATGAATCCGAGCAAATTTATTTTTACTCGGAAGTGTCAGATAAATGCTTCCTCTTTCAATTTTGACACAGTTTGAGCCATTTTGTGTACATTTTTTTTTCTTTTCCCCGTGATACATTTCTCAAGACCAGGGAAAGATTCCATCAAAATGTGGCAAATAATTCTGGGGTTAAAGAGTGAAGGAGGAATCTCTACATATACTATCAAAATTGTCGAATATGGCCACCTATTTTGTTTCAGGAAAAAAGCAGTTGTCTGAGATATGTGTATTATGTCGTGGACAGTGTCATTACAGTATTTAAAAATTCAAGGGGGGAGGTGGGCGATGGTATGTGGTTGTTTGTATGGACGAATGTCTTGTTGTCATAGACAGTTGGTCGTTGGAGCAGGTTGGACTATGTGTTTCTAATGTGATAAATCATGCAGTCAGTTTTTGTTCTTAGAATTAGAAGGAAGAAAGAAATAGCTTATTGCATAGAAGACTTGGTCCGAGACCTGTTGATATGAAATTCGGTCTTATGTTTAACATGAGGCATCATATGGAACAAGCCTCCCTGCTTCTTTGTTCTGTTGGAGTGTTTGGTATGATTACTGTGACTAGACATTAATACAAGTAGAATGAGAAGGATGTTACTCTAAGGAAAGAGATAAAAGTCTTAGGGGGGAGACATTAAATTTGTGCCTTGTGGGTTTGATAAAGATTACAGGATAGAATCAGATTAAAATTTCTGTGATTGGTCATAGATGTATGAGTCTTATGCAGGTCACTATACAGGTGTTTTGGCAGTGAAACATTTTTCCAGAAATTCCAATTTTCTCACTTTGAATCTTTTTTTTTTTTCATTCAGCTGTTGGATGTTGACCCTCAAGATCAAGGAGAAGAAGATGGTGCTAATATTGATCTGGATTCTCAAAGGAAAGGAAAGTGCGCTGTTATCAAAACATCCACAAGACAGGTCTGTAATAGATACATTCATGCTGGAGATGATGTGGGGCTGCTTATTTATTAGAAATGAAATTTTGTTTTTTATGATAATAATATTCTTCTGTTTTGTAATATTCTTGAATGTTTTTTACATTGTTTTCAGAAGCTGTAGTGTTTAGCATTTTAGCATTCAATGGCCAATTTGCAATTTTCAGTGAGCAACCATTCACACCTCTCAAAGCTTGTAATAGATGCTCTACAGACAACATATATGGGTGATATCTACACTAATACCCCAGTGTAACGTACTCGACTTTAAACCTAATCTCGGCAGTAACTTTCACCTTCTAAAGTTTCATTCAGCATTTTTATTCCTAAAAAGCTATGTCTGAAATGTATCTGCTTAAAACGTACTTTCGGCTATTACATTCACTTTTTAAGGGATTTTGTTTGGTGTGTGTGGTTGGTTTGTCCTCTGATGTGGTTTACTCCTTCTTTCTTATAAAACATCTATTTTCCAGATTGTTTGGCTTTCTATTTTTTTGTTTTTTAGTTTGTCTGTTGTGAAAGAATAAATTTTTAGAAGTTGTAAGTGATGTGTTGCCTACTGGGCTGTTCGAAAGTATTTTTCACACTCCTCTGACTTGCTTTATTAAATTGTTTTAGTGTTAGAAAATGTTTTTTGTTTCTTTCTCTAATTCTCAGACTTATTTCCTGCCTGTCATTGGTCTGGTCGATGCAGAGAATTTGAAGCCTGGAGATCTGGTGGTGCGTGAACTCTATAAAACTATGGTTTTAGGGCAATACATTTTTAATTGTTGAATGGAAGCGTGGATAAATAGCTCAGTTGTAATGAAGAGAAGCCATGATATGTAAAGACAATGTAAAATGAGATCGTATTTATTTTTTCATTTCCTTTTTCTTTGATTGTATTTGTTAAGAGTTACTTTCAAAATGAAACTATGAAATATTTCTCGTTTTTCCCTTTGATATATATGTTTCCACTTTGTCTCAATGCCTAGGCTGACACTAATTTTATCTTACTATGATTTATTAGATTTTGTTATTGACCTGTTGTATTGTTCTCTATAATGACAACTGTGTTATTATTGTTTACAGGGTGTGAACAAAGACTCCTATCTGATTCTTGAGACACTGCCTGCTGAGTGAGTTTTTTGCTATTGCTCTTTATTCATTTTGTCATGTAGTTATTTTACATGTTTGTTTACATTTGGGTATATTGGGGGTAATTTTCAGAAGCTTTGATTGTGAAAAGGACTTAATATGGACAAGCTAAGGACAGGATTTTTTGCTTTAGTTAAAGGCAACTACATTTTGCTTTTGTTTTCGTGATTTAAATGTGGCATTTTCTTGAAGAACTCATTATGCAATCCTTGGAATGTCCTTTTACAGGTATGACTCGAGAGTGAAGGCGATGGAAGTGGATGAAAGACCTACAGAGCAGTATGCTGACATTGGTGGCCTGGATAAACAAATCCAAGAGGTAAAGTTTAACAGTGTGAATTCTACAAAATAAATTGTACAAAGCAAACAGTCTAAACAATTAGATATTGTCTTATGGCAATAACTATTTCCCCACAGTTAAAGAACATGCTTTGTATGTAAAGTGATTCTACTTTACTTTTATTGCTTCTTTTTATTGGTATTTTATATTTTATGGTGTTTTTATTTTTATACTTTTCCTGGTGGGGGGGGGGGGGGGGGGGGGGGATTGCCGCAAACCATAGGACACCAGTAACATATGGGTTGGTCACTTCAAATTGTTTTGAAATTTACTCTGTTGGAAATAGTTATTGATTAGGAAGAAGCTAATGATTTTATTCAAATTGGCCATTGGGAATGTAGTAGCTAAGCACCATGAGTTGAGTTGTTTTTTAAGGGGTTTTTTGGTTCTGTTTTAAAAGATAGAAATTGTGTTCGCATGTTTACTTGACTAGAATGGATTTATATGAAATATGTGTATGTGCATGTATATGAATACAAGCATGCATAGAAATAAAGCGACCAGTTTGAGAGTGAAAAAAATTTTGAAAAATTAATTGGAAGATGTTTTTAACTATTTGCTTCTATTACCTTATCGAGCTTTTTCCATTTTTCAGCTGATTGAGGCAGTGGTTCTTCCTATGACACACAAAGAAAGATTTGAAGCCTTGGGCATCCAGCCTCCTAAAGGTACTTTGAATAAAGATAAACTGCCAAAGTTCTACTTTGAGACCTTTAAAATTATGGCAAATGTGCTAATTTGAAATGTATGGAGACTGTTTTCTTGGGGGGGGGTAGCAATGCCCAGAGCTGGTAGTAACGGAGTACAAGTACTCCGGTACTTGTACTTACGTTACAATTTTCGGTACTTTTACTGTACTCCGGTACATTTTTGAAACCAGTACTTTTACTGTACTCTGATACTTTTTATAAAAGTACTTTTGAGTACTTTTAAAGTACATTTTGAGTACTTTGGTAGCTAAATGAAAGGGTAAGTGCAGGCATTTCTGATCATAATTTAGGGAACAAAAACCCGATCAACCGCCAAGAGTTAAAAGTTGAGATCAAAGAACGGCCCGTCGCCTCAAAGATCAGCCACTATCGTGAATGTGATCACAAGCGTTGTAAAACTCCTTGAAACGGTACAGTGTTTGCTCCAGACGGGATCACACCAAGGTGTGAACTGACCGATGCGTTTCTTTTCCCCAAACATCGCACTCGCATCTGACCTCACCACCTAAACTTACATCACTCCTTGGGTGGGTAGGGCCTACAAGTTCGCTCCAGGCGGGATCACATCAAACCGTGAACTCTTCCCTGACCATTGAAAGCAGTTTTTCCTGAATTTGCGAGACAACCTGAATTTTAATTAGTGCGGTCACATCGTAATGGTGCGTAACGACAAAGGAGGTGGGGGGGGGGGACTCAATCAGAGATGGAAAGCTAAAATTGTTGGACAGGTAAAGGGGAGGGGCAACTGGATAAACGTAGATAAAGATCTCAAGACTCACGATAGGCTAATGAGTGTGTATATATAATATTATTTATGGCATGCCTCATGCCACTGTGATTGGTCATCAAGGTTGACCACTCTTTGCTTGCCATATGTCATAAATCCACCCAGGGGTCACGTCAGTTCATGGGTCACTGTAGATTCTTCCTTGGCTTCGTTGGCTAAGATCCCGTATTTTCCTTGCTTCCGAGCACTGGGATCTTAGGCGGAGACAACTGCAGTAGAGAATCTTTGGTTACACTACACTTACTAGACTCTAGGAAACTATTGTATTTTGGTTTGCCGTTGGCGCCGTGGACTACACAGTATGACCAAAATCTGTCAGACCACTATAATCAATTGAAACTGAAACTGTTTTCTTAAGAGCAACTTTGTATCTACATTTTTTAATTTGGATACTCTTTCTGTAGAACTTTCCGACCTCTAGGACTGACTTACATTTGATCACATTGTCTTGCTCAAACAAGTTCTATTCATAATATCACTTACCCACTAGTTGCGTCTGTTCATTTGGGTTGTTTTTTGTTCAACTTCACGGACCATTTCCACCGTTCAGTGCGTACATTGTATATTCAAATGCTATGTATACTGTTTACATTTTTAGCAATAAATAGCCTATTTTGTCAAATATACTGGATAAGTTATAAAATATGATGTTTTGCATAAGCGCTGAAGTGTTTTAGCATATTAGCAGAAAGTACTCAAAATGTACTCATAAGTACTTTTTTAAAAAGTACTTGTACTCAAGTACATTTTAAAGGAAAGTACTTTTATTGTACTTAAGTACATTTTTTAGATTGTACTTAAATTTGTACTTAAGTACTTTTTTAAAAGTACTTTAACAGCTCTGGCAATGCCAATATCTCGTTGCGCCTTGGGCTGGAAATCGGCCTCCGCGCGAGGGGTAATTTTTGGGCCGCTCGGAATCAGAAGTGACTCTCTTCATAGTATAGTTACGGGAAAATTCGTGGACGAAAATAAATTAAACTCGGCAACCAATCAGAGGAAAGGTTAAACTAATGACTTGCCAGCGTACAATCCCGAACGATTTCTAGAACCGGAGATGTTGCAGTGTTTGTGCGAATTTCCTCTGTGGTTCGAAAACTAAGCGGAGCTGCTGGTTGATCGCCGACCACACAGTTATGTCTTCTTCATTGCTGTAAAATTTCAGATCTCTGCGTTTAGTACATTTTACGTACCAACTTTAAATTACCACCCATCCATTGATAAAACACTAGAGTTGGAAACTAGATGGCGCATTCCAAACGCGAAGTGCCGGCATGCAAGAGGCGCGTGATCGCTAGGCGGTATGTGATTGGCTGCCTATAACTAAATAGGTCACCGATGACTTCATCGTGGGTTTTCCTGATAGCGCTTTACTGAGTTTTAGAAGGGGTGCGGTAAAAACGATGTCACGCAATTCAACAAATTTCACGCAAATATCAGTCTTTAAGATCCAAAGTAATAAAGACATCAAAAAAGTGATAGCAGAGCAGAACTAGATTCTGCTAGATTCTGCACTAAAAATCACTGGAAGATGCGAAGTTTCATTCATATGCTCCAATTCATTACTGACTTATGAACAGTTTTTACTCAAAATACATCAAGACATGTCCCACATTTTGGCGATATTTTCCTATATGAAGGTCCTCCAACATTTTGCAAACAAAAATCTCAATAACTTTTTTATTTATCAATGGATTTTTAAAATATATTTTAAAAACCATAGTGCTTAGAATTTACTTTATTTTCATTTTAAGCCCGTTTTAAAGCAATTTGGATGAAAATTTAATTTTTCATTGTCATTGCTAGGGGAGGGAGTGGGGAGACGACTAAAATAGTATTTTGTTACCTTATGTGTCATGACGCCGGTCAATTTTTGGTTGTATAGAGTTATAGATATCATCTTAAAGTTTGTTCTTTTGTCTTGCTTTTAATGAAAAAAGTTCTTAAATATCATGAACAGAAGTTGAAATATTTGCGATTGAAAGAAGTGGGGCACACAGAGATGAAATTAGCCAGAAAATGGCCGCCAAAGTTGTTTGACTTCCAAAGCTTGAAAGTGCTTGGAAACTGCAAATTTACCTCTTTTTTTTTTAACCTTAAATCGTTTTTCAGTAAACTCCACACAGAAAAATTTTTTTTAATGGATCCTATAAAGGCGCAGGGTCAAAAAATTTAAAAAATGATTTAAAAATGCCAGTTTCTTTGATTTCACTATTTTGACAACGCCTGATTTCACCACGATGCCTCACATATTGTTAGTTTTCTGATTTGCTCTTTCTTAGCACTATGACCGTAACTATACCTTTCTTTTCTCTTTATGAAGTAGGTTTTTAAAAATGCATTTTGCCTTCTGTGGCAAGCCGTTACTGAATATCGATCTTTGCTTTAACTTTTCCTTCAGCATACACTGAAGTAAACTTTGTGTGTTTTGTTACAGGTGTGTTGTTGTACGGAGCTCCTGGCACTGGGAAAACTCTCCTAGCTCGAGCTTGCGCTGCACAGACCAAGTCGACATTCTTGAAGCTGGCCGGACCACAGCTGGTGCAGATGTTCATTGGTGACGGGGCCAAACTTGTCCGCGATGCCTTTGCTCTTGCAAAGGAAAAACAGCCAGCAATTATCTTTATTGACGAGCTCGATGCTATTGGTACGTTCAAATTCACTGCCTTTGATGCATTGATTTTTTAACCCTTTAAGCCCTTACCTCCGGTACACCGGTTGCGCGTAAAACTATCCGTATGCCTAGCCACCGGTACACCGGTGAGCGAGACCTCATCCCCAACCCGGCTCGCCTGAGACAAAATGTGTACGGAAAACAGTGTTTACTACTCACGATGTTGATTTTTTGAAGATCTTTCTGAATTGGATGCTGGTAATGACAAGGACTACCCTGAGTAAGATTTGTAATGTGATTCTGACGATCATATGGATATTAGTAATATATCGCTCAGAAGCTCAGGTAGAGGGTCACGGTAGCCTCAGGAGGTCAGGGCTCAAAGGATAAATAAGAGAAAGTAGGTTGTAGACACAACCACAAGAGAAAACAATTGATGGTTCATCAAAGCCTGTGGGAATGAAGTTGTTGATGTGAATGAGAGTGTGGGCTGTTACCTAGGGTTGTTTGTAACGAATTGCCCTAAAAAGCAATGTAGCTGGTGGTTGGAGGGTGCATCTGGTAGGTCCTATGTCTTTAGTTTCCTTTGTTCTTTTAAGTCGGTCTGACTGTTATTTTGTCATGTTTTTCTTCACTCAAACCTACTCAAATTAAGAAGCTATGTTCACTGATACTATTTTATTTGAATTTGACTGAATATGATATGAATGAGAATGGTATGAGCTGTTTCTGTCCTTCAAATCATATTCTGCATGTGGTATTACTGTTACATGCAGATCTTATTTATTATTGTTTTTGTGTTATAATATTTGTAATTTTAAAAATGTAATTAGTAAGAGAATTGCTCTTCACATTAGATGGAGTGGAGTTTGGTGTTGACAAACTGAAATTCTGTGCTCTTTTTTAAACATGCCTCTCAGTGCTAGTCAGACTGATCTTCTTAGTCTCATAGCTTGAAAAAAGGAGTAAAAGAATATGAGTTTTTTTAATGATCTGCATAACTAGTTTCCTTTCTCTTACAGGTACCAAGCGATTCGACAGTGAGAAGGCAGGTGACCGTGAAGTACAGAGAACCATGTTAGAGCTTTTGAACCAGATGGATGGATTTCAACCAAATGCTATGATCAAGGTATGCCATTTCTGTGTATTTTTTGGCCGGCAGTATTCTTCTGAATAATACTGCTTACAGTGAAAAGTGAATTGTGTAAAGTGTTTGGGTTTTTATAGTCCACTTCATGTTATTTGTTTTGGTACTGTAACTGAAATAGTTTCGTAATTTTTTTAAGAAGCAATTATATCTAGAATTTCTTTGGAGGGTGGTATGGTGTACGACTTAATCATAAAGTGTAGTTGCTCAATTAGCTTAATTTTCTCTCTCTATATATGTATTTTTTTTTTTTTTTAAAGTACATATATATAATATTTTTTTAAACCTGTATTTGTGATGAAGAAAAGTAGAGTTTACTTTGCTGTTGCTGTGTTGATAAATTCAACTTCAACCTTTCTTCAGGTCATTGCAGCTACAAACAGAGTGGACATCCTTGACCCAGCCTTGTTGAGATCTGGTCGTCTGGACAGAAAGATTGAGTTCCCTCAGCCCAATGAGGAAGCAAGAGCCAGAATTTTGCAGATCCACTCCCGCAAAATGAATGTCAAGTATGCACACAAGTTTCTTCTTTTTTTTTTGGAGGGATTCATCAGAAGGAAAATGTTCACTTGAGTGTAGAATTAAATAGTTAACCCTTAGAGTGCTGGTTGGTCATGACGGCCCGAACTTCCGTAAAGTGCTGATCACGACCGCCGGTCGCGATAGACATTGACATAGTATAACGCGATGTACGAAAAGATCGAAGTACTAATTTTTATACTGCTGGCTGGTAGGCTACGCTTGTCACGGGGTTCGATCGAGGCGTGAGGAGTTTTTTGTTTCATGTTGAAGTCGAGTGATACTGAAGTCGGAAAATTCGAGATTGCGACCCGCGAGGAAAATGAAAATAGTGTCGCTTCAGATTCAGATGAAGATGATTTCGAGGGTTTTGATGCTAGAGCTAATACTTTGTGGAATATAATGTAGGCCTACGAAGCATCTAGACTCGGATCTAGATCCAGAGATCTAATGAACGTCAGTTTTTATTCAGTCATTTTCAACATCACTACTACAATAATAACTTCCACAAAATACGTTTTGCTTAACATAATCATAAAGAACTTTCAATATTCTAAAACTTTTATTCTTACCTTCATAAGAAATTTTGACAAATAAAAAAGGTATTAGCAAAAAAAAAAAAGCATATGTGCAAATCTGGCGTTTTTCCAAAATAAATTCAGCACAGAGGGGAAATATAAGGGGAAAGAAGTCAGCGCTCTAAGGGTAAAATTTTCTTCTCTTCTTGATTATTTTCATGGACCAGAGCATTTGCTTCCTTTCTCAAAAATGTTCACGTGGGCCTAAGTTTATATAGCAAAATTTTTCTTTCTTATTTTTTGAAGAAGTATCAGTTATCATGATTTATATAGTCGCTTTGACATAGGATTGCACCCAGCTGAATGTAGATTTAACTTAAAGGAATTGATTCTCCTTGGCAGTTACAGAAAAAAACCCAAAGCTTGAAATAAGTTTGATCTGAGTATAAAACTACTTTTATTTACAATGTTTGCTGGGGGGTTTTAATACTTTTTTACAAGAGAAGTTTCCTCTATAGTTACTAAAGGCAGGTGTTTTTAGTGCTTTTATTAACTCTGTCCGTATGTCGTGTTTTACTATCGTATCCATATGACGTGGGTAACTCTAAGAGGAAATTTACTCGTAATCCGATCCGTGCGCTTTGGATAGCAGTCTGTCGAAATGATTTTTTTGAAAATTACTGAAAGTTTTAAAGAGGTCTTCGTACTAGAAGTATTCTAAAATGTGAAGAATACAACCCAGGGGATACAAAATGACCCCAGGGCGTACGGATAGGGTTAACACATTGCACCACACTGTGGACGGGAAGTCTATTCCCAAACCCACCTCCTGTGAATAAAAGCATTTAAAAAACACTTTTAAAAATGCTATACAAATTTCAAAATTCCTGAAAAAAATAATTAGAAAGAGAAATGAATGCAGTTTCCGAAAAATGTAACTTGACATGTGCAAAAACCTTTTGAAATGTTCTAACTTTTTTCAATCAGGGTGTCCGACGCGTCACTCCCTCTCTCAGTCTCACGGTCGGGCCCTAGATCTAAATTCTACGTCTGATTTATCGGAATCGCCCCAAACCTTGCTACAATGTTTTCATCAGTATCTGATCTCTCTGATTTGTCATTTGCCTGCTGTTACTCAAATCCATCGTTATTTTCTTTTTCAAACTCAATTGTGCTGCTTTTCAACAAATGGAAACTACCTCCGAAGTGTCACAAACGCGATCACACTTCGATGGGCTCTAATACTAAAACTACTGGTCAGAAAAATTTCATTTCAGTATCAAACGGAAGAAGAAACATTTTGCAATAACTATGTAAAGCGAAATCTCGGCCTCAGAGTCACATCAAGGCGAGACTTCGTTTCTAAAGACGCCTGATGGGAGCGATCATATGGCATTGTTACTTGTACTCAATTCGAAAAATGGATTTCACAGTAAGTCCTAATATTCTTTACTGGTTACAACTCCAGCTTGCCATTTCCAGTGTGATTGTTATGCTACTGTAAGCTGCATTTTATGAATCGTTTGAGGTTGTTAAACATTTTCGATTTTTTTCTTTCCTTACAGCAAAGATGTCAACTATGAGGAACTTGCCCGTTGCACTGATGATTTCAATGGAGCCCAGTTGAAGGCTGTTTGCGTTGAGGCAGTATGTATATTTTTGTCAGTTGATGGCTGTAACACCTCTAATCTTCAGTTCTTATGTGACCTTTTTGTCTTGTAGGTGCCGCACAACTATTACTAAAATTAAAACCTGATGATAAAAGTAGAAGAAATTGCAAAGGAAGTTGGCCTTGACATCACATGCAACAAGATGGTTGAACTGGTTTAAAAAAAGAGACAGCATCGCTCAAAAAGCTTTGTGCAGTATATCTGTTCGTGATTTTCGTTCTGACCATCGCAGTTACTAGCCTAGATATTGTTCAGTACGATAGGCCTATTTCTTTAATTTTTTATTTTATTAGTTTTATTGGTTTTATCTGAATTATGGATGTGTCAAACACATTTGTCTCTCTCCAAGTTATCTGTGCCTGACTGTTCGTAATCTAGTCATACAAGTTATACTAGTTATAGTGTTAGAGAAATATTCTCACTGGCTTAGAATTATATATTTGATTTATCAATGGGGAAGATGCTAACATTTTTTGTGTTATGTGATTTCGATGAGGGACTTTTGTTGTCACCATGAGAAAAGTTAAAATCTTGTTAACATTTTAACACATTCCACCCTAAGGCTCTGAACGGGAAGTCTATTCCCAAATCCTAAGCAAGGGGAAGGAATACTGAAACTACTGGTCCGAAAAATTTCTTTTCAGTATATATGAAAGAAGAAACATTTTTCAATAAACTATATAAAACGAAATCTCAGCCCCGGAGACTTCGTATCTAAAGACGCCTAGTTGGAGCGGGCGATTCTGGGTGAGTCAGGGTGGAGCGCATATGGAGGTTCTCGGGCGATCCCAGGTGAGTTAGGGTGTAATGTGTTAAGGGGGACAGGGTTGCATCTTCTGCAGATTGTTTACCAGTTTTATGCTGTTTCGTCCAGATGCCACTCATACCCTATCTGTCTTCAATTACTTTCATCATAGTATTGAAAAATGTGAATCTCTCATAAATCTAATCAATGCTTCTGTACCTCCCTCACAGGGAATGATCGCTATGAGACGTGAGGCCACTGAACTGACGCACGAAGACTACATGGATGCTATTATTGAAGTCCAAGCCAAGAAAAAAGCCAATTTACAATATTATGCTTAACATGTTTGCAACTGTGTACATTGTGTGTACTTCCTCTCTGTGGTCTGTGTACGTTGAAGGTTTTTTCATTGTATGATTGCCATTTTCCTGGGGGTTCATGAATATGGAGGAGGTTGGAGTAGGGGATGTCATTTGTTGGGATAGATTTAGTAAGATTGGTTGATAGCACATTAATTTTCTTTCTGGTGGGTGTGGAAGATCATTTGAAGTACGCTGTTTGTGGTTGGTTAAGCAAGAGTCATATGGTGATGTTAGTTTTCTGAGAAGACGTTATGTAACGGTATCAGGATCTTATGTGACCTCATGCAAGAAAAAACAAAAAATCATAGAAGTACCAGAACCGTTACTATGAGCAGGCTTTTTCAGAGCAGATTTTCCATTTTGTTCAATATTTTATCATTACTTTTGTGTTTATATAAATACAGTGCAAATGCATGGTGATTGTTAAGGAATATTTGAGTATGAATGATGTTGAGAGCTTATTGAAGTAGGCTATGCGAGTGTGACAGGTGTGATTGTATTTTTTTGAAGAATATCAGTAAAATGTGATAAAAAGTGCATCTTTGTTTTTTTTTATATATTGAAGAAAACATTTGCTTGTAAATCAGTGTGGGGTGTTGTCCTGCAACACAGGGTTTGAGTGCTTGGTGTTGGTGGCTGGTAGGTGTTCTGGTGTGGTTTCCTTCTTTTTTGTGTTTGCTACTCTCTTGTGACATCTGTAATCTTCAGCACTTATATGACCTAATTGTGTTGCAGGTGCCCTAAAACTCTTATTAATCTTTAGGGAATTCCCAAAGGGGGGACATTAACATGTTCTTATGCTCAGTAGAATTGTAAATGGGCTGATTCATCAATGTCATGCTCATAACTGTGCTTGAACTGCAACAGGGAACTGCTGCTTTTTCTTTCGTAATCCTTACTATTGTCATTTTTCCTCTTCTTCTTTTGTATGTTTGTCACACTCTTGTGATCTGCTATTTCCGGGGTGCCTTGATAGTCGAAGCTGACTTTGTGCTGTTGAAGCTAGAGAGATGAGTGTGAGCAGAGTAAGCCTGATTCCCTGTATAGACTTCTCTTTTTGACATTCACCCCTTGGCGCTCATATGACCATGTGCAGTTGTGAGCGCAGTAACACTCTACTAAAAAAACACACACACACAAAAATACTTTCATTAAAACTGAGTGCTCAATTGCCAGTGAAATAAAAAATAAAAAGGTGCTCATCAAAAGTGGCATGTTGGAATGGATGAAAGTTGGGCAAGATGCACTCAGTCCTCAGAAGGCGAAAGAAAGCGATGCCTTTGATTCTGAGAAGAGTTGGAAACCAGGTTTGTGGTAGACGTCTTCACTAATACTTTAAGCTCTGCCCCCGTGCATCTGTTGGTCCCATGCACCTGAACTTTGGGCTGACCGCTGTGTATACCACTGTGTGGTCTGTGCCCAGAAGTCATGCTCAGGTGTACGCTCACTTACCATCAAATGTAAGTGATCAGGGACTGAATTCTAGTGCATAATAAAAAAGGACGGGGAGGTCTTTTCCAAGTTGTTTTACACACACAACTCCTCTTCAACAACCATGACAGAAAAGGGAATTGTTCTGGTTAGCACTCATCAAGAATTGTAGGGTAATTGGTGCATCAATAGTGATGTCATTATTCCAGTAGTAGTTGCAACTGTTTTGTTTGCTGTTTCCCACCTCAAAAGGATCATTCTCATCACTGAAGTGACATTTAGACTTAAGACTCTTAGACAGGACAGGGAAATGAAATACAAACTTGATGAAGACTTACTTGTTTCATGTATTTACAATAATATTTATTCACTGATGATAGTGATAGCTTTGTAAGAACTTTACATGAAAAATAGTTCCATAACATGACATAGGACACAAAACTTTGTAAGTTTTCCAACTTATCAAAAGTTATGAGACCTGCCCATGTTGTTCAACCTGATGGATAAAAATGTATGAATTTCTACATATGTGAAATACATTTCCTAAACAAATTACACATGTTAACAGTTAATTGGAAAATGTTGCTGCCTCTTGCCTTCCTGAGAGATGCACATTTTTTTATACGTGACCATAGTACTCCAAATTATTCTGAAATTGAAATGATTTATGACTTCTCATTACAGTATAGGCTTTGGAAGAATGTTCCCCACATCAGCACAACCAGTTTCACTGAACTGCCACACTGAGAACAGCTGAGCAAAGGCATCTTGAAGAAATGAGAGTCGAATCATGTAGTAATCAATAATCCTGTTAGTAGATCGATACCTCACTTTGGTGAAATGTTGATTACAACCAGTTTTCCCTCGTGGTATCATTGAACTCACTCGATCACATATTCCGAAACATGATATTATAGGGAACGTCTGAGCCTAGGAGTTCTGGGGTCTGGACATGAAAAGTCAGCTGAGACACAAAAACAACACTGTTTTGTCATTGAATTCTAACTCCCTTAGGAAGGAAGAAGTAAACAGTGATGACTATGAAGACAGAGATTTGTGCCATCATAATGAGGTGCATGCCATCAAAGTGAAATGCATGTTGGCCAGATCACCCTTTACCGTGCTACATAAGTAGGTCTAGACCTTTGTGAGGTGTTCAACTTGTCCTGTTTTGCAGAAAGAATAAAAGTACTGTAGAACTCGGATTCAATGAAGCCGTCGGACTATTCAATTTTGTTGAATCCAAGTGTTTGTTATAGCAAACATGGGGTTTTTGTCTAAATAATTTCAGGCGCTGAGCAAGTAATGTTATATGTATTCGACTTTCTCAATCAAAAGTAGTCTGGTTTCAAATGAGAGGCATTTTTGTGGGTTTTTTAATTCTGAAGAATTGCTGGAAAAATTACAAGAAAATACACTCAACTCTACCAAGCACACACTGTAAAAGGGCCAATTTGTTCAAATGCACGCCTGTTTCATCTATCATCTATAACTTATTGTTTGCCAAACATAAATTATGTTGAAGTGTAGAGCCTAGCATATGGCAACGTTTGATTCCACAGTTCAGAGCGCAATTCATTTATGTAGATCTATGTCAAGATTAGCTTTTCATTGTATTGATCAGTTGCTGGGGAAAAAAATAACTGTTGCGTTTGTATTTCTACTGATGTTCCATGCCCGGACCATATGTACCCCCCTCTACCCAGACACATGCACACACAGTCACACGTGTGCGGGTCGCCCATCACAAGCTAAAAGACATGGGTGCGTGATGACAACGCACGAGTTGGTATGAAAGGAGACAGCTGATTGGTGGCATAGGTCATAGAGCAGTTCACCCTGCAAGCGACTTCGTTGAACCAGTTTCCTCATTTATGTGTATGTTGAATCCAAGTTATTTTAATTGATTTTTATGAATTTAAAAAAATGGGGGAATCCAACTCCTTTCGTTGAATCTAGACTTCGTTGAAACCGAGTTCCACTGTACTAAGTAAAAATAAATAAGCTATTAGTCTACCCTGTAGAGTATAAAGCAAAGATTCCGCCATAACATGACAAAAGCAGCCTATATAAGGCAGAGTGTACTGAAACATAGCTTGCATACTATGTAACACCTCCCTATGTGGAAAATTTGGCTTGTTTTTGTTTTGTCCAGGATTCACATAAAAAAGATACAATGAACACAAAGGGAAGAAACTAGAAAAGTCGGTTCAAGGAATCCATGCTTTCAAATTGTATGTTTATAAATTATGTTACGTGCACTTCACAGTTTCATGTACAGTCAATGCTGGCTTTAAGCACAGTCTTTGGAAGAAAGCTTAAGCGTGCTTAATGCCGAAGCGTGCTTGAGTGCGAAGTAGACATAATCCAGAGATTTTCATGTAGAAAATTTCCCGTGCTATTTCCCTTTGTTTGTAAGTAGGCCTATAACGGTCCCGTAAAAGTATGCACTGTTATTTAGACACCCGCCATGGTAGTTTTTGTTTGCTTGTTTGTTTTTGTTTTGAGGTCGAATGGGAAATGAAAATTTAATTTAGACAGCCAGTCACGATACAGCAAACTAGGCCTACACACTGCCTGTGCGTACCACTGCCCACTGTGCCACATTCATACTACTGCCTTCATCCCACCTCGCACGTGATACACAATCAGGATTAATGGATAGCGAGGGTCAAAGGTGAAATCGCAGCCAGCCTCCCTTTCTCATCTCCCCGACTCTCTTTGTATTTTTTTTTGTCTGTAGCTTTGCCCAAGGCTAGATCCTATGTCCACGCGAGCGGCTGTGTGCTTCTCTCTGCCTTCCTCTCCGCTCGTGTGAGTGTGTGTATTCATCACTTGCGTTCTTTGTGTTTCTCAATACACTCACTGCTGTGTTGTAGACTGTGTTTGAACTTCGATGGGTCATCATGGAAGTATAGACTGTCTTGTAAATGAAGCATGCCTGAAGCCGAAGTTACCATGCTTAAAGGCGTGTAATTTATATAGCAAAAATTCGGTAAGAGCCTTTTAGCGTGCTCGAGTCCAAAACGTGCTTTATGCCGGCGTGCTTACTTAAAGCCGGCATGGACTGTACCATATTGCCCTAAAAAATAAGAATTGATGTTCATTTTCCAAAAGTATTTTCCAGACGTTTGCATACTACCTCAGCATCTCACAAATCATATCCTACACTTTCCACCTTTACTTTTTAAACATGCCTTTAATAAAAATTATTAAGATATCAAATACATGAGAGAGGATAGGGGAAACTCTCACCGTGCTCAACCAATATTCAAATTCAAAAAGCTTGCCATAAATATCAAATAACAAATATTTACTTACTTTTCCCGCTTTCTTCATCATCAACTATCTTAACTATTTTCAATCTTTTTCACTTTCCCATAACCCCATATTTCATTATACATACAAACTACATAAACACAACCCCCCAGAGGTCTACATTGTATTGTATGTACCTTGAGAACGGTCCCAGTTGTCAGCAAAGCTATTTCAGGGTGAAATGGCTAAAAAATTTAGTTCCATCAGAAAACTAACGTTTAACAATTTCTTAATAACATATTGAAGGATTTATAATATTCTAAAGTTTAATATTTTCTATTATTAGTTATTTTTGCAGTATGTTGAACTTCATCAAAGGTTAAAATGTGCTAGAAATTGGGTTTTCTCCAAACTTTGTTTTTACACCCATGTTACAAACTGTGGCATATCTAAGACTACTCAAGATATTTGAACGATTTAAAAATCAGTGTGTGCAGCATTGAGGTGGGTACAAGAATATGCCCTAATTTTAATAAATCCAAAATTTTCTACAGCTCGGACCTTTTTCCAGACACACACACATACATATGTTAGGCAGAGAGAGAAATCTACACCTCGCATTCAATAAAGACAACAGATAGGCCTACTCATCTGCAAAAAATGTCATTCAATTCCCTATCTAGGCAAGTATCAATATTCACAGAATAAAGGCAAACTTGCAGTGGGAAAATATTGCTTACTGTTGTCTTTAGTTTCTCATGATTTACCAAATGAACTCTGAATCATGTTCCATAAGGTATGGGGTGTTGTCACTTAAGACTGCTCACTATCAGTCGCTGAAGTATCGACGTCATTCACATTACTTGCATGTACATTACTAGGATTAAGCAGAATGAAGCAACGTCTTGCACATCTGTAAAACCTACTTTGAGGCCCTTTTCATTATTATGCATTAACACTTTGAAGTCACTTGGCGCAATAATGCGACGGTGAAAATTATCTGTTCCAGTCACCTGGCACAGTTCTGCACCAGGCCTGAGAAGTCCGTTGCAGTCACTCTCCTGGTTGGGTAACCAGATGGGGTACTTTGTCCTGCTGGCTGTGTGACTGCAAAGTGTTAATACTACTAGAGTAATATATAATGTTACATTTACGTTAGTCATGTATGACATTTACTCGAAGATATAGTGACAACCCAACAGATCCAAGCAAACACTAGAGTGTGTGTTACTTTTACTCCTTTGCAAAGGCCTCGATGTGCTGTGATGTATATAGCAACTGACCCAAAGTAGCTCTGATGAACAGGTTCTGTAAGGCTCAGGAGGGCCAGAGCTCACAGGCTTGATTATTCTCAGATCCTAACCAGATGGAAACTTAAAGAAGAGTAGAAGCCGAAGAAATACTATCATGAGATGATAAAAGTAAAGTAGTATAATCCCCTACGTCACCATGAATTACGATGATCAGTGTGCTGTTCCCAGTTCCTGTGAGACATCCTGGCAACCCTAATGTTACCATGGGTATTTTGCACTAGGTTTAGCAGTTCAAAATAGGGAGTCCAACTTACTTTTACTTTTGAAACTACATGTATCTGTTCTAGTCAGCAATGACCGATCACACATTATGAATGACACAAGCATGACACAGTTCACATTTTTTCATAGGTCCAGACATGTCCACAAGTCGTGCAAGTCTTTGAGTAGCTGTCCTCCTCCTCGTCGTAAACTTCCTCGTCATACTCATGCTGGTGGCCAGTGAGATCTTTACGCCACAAGCTGCTGCGTACTGACATACGTAACTCTGAAATACAATCAGGAAGTGTGCCATTGGAAGTCAATTCCTAGAATCTAACAAAATCATTTTTCAAAGAGAAATAGAATACATTTTTAAAAGTCATTACCTCTGTTCAAATTAATTATCCATCCACTATTTGAATTAAAACCTAGGTATGTAACAAAAATCATGATTAGTTGCTACTTGGGGGGAAAAAAAGTCAAGCTATAGCTTCCATTCAAATTGCCAGTCTCAAAGGGGGTGTCTTGTGGTCAAGGGGTATGGTGTTCGCATTACATTAAAAAATTTACTCCTTTAACATCCTTTCCTGTTCTCCAGCCATGTTCTGTCATCTGCTTTCATCTCCATTTTCTGACCCCCCTCTTCTGGGATCCCCTCTCCTTTACTCCTATCTGCTGCATCTCCTGGATCCTTCTTATTGCTGTCTTTCAGCCACACCACTGATCATAAGGTACGTAAGGTCTAACACATACCCTTTTCGGATAAGGGTAAAAAATCTCAGAGGTCCTGTGTGAAAGTTGTGCATGTTAAAGATCCCTCGGTGGTCCTAAAATCAAAATAAATTCCTACAAAAACTGAAAATACTCTGGTCAGTATAAAAAATATAAAGTACCTTCAAAATTTGAATGAGGCTGCCTGAAGGCAAGGGGCCCTACTAATTAGGAAAAACGGTCACATACATAAAAATCAGTTGCACTGCAGATTGAAGAAGTAGCAGTCAACTACCTCCGAGATTCATCAAGGGAATACAAAGAAGACAAAGAAGAAGTCTGTCTCAGTTATATTCATTTGAGCATGGAGCTGATTGACTTACACATCATTTGACAAAATTTTGACAAAAATAGGAATTTTTAAAAGATACATAGAGGTGGAACATGTAATAATATCCTCAGCTGTGCCCACAGAAAGACATTTTATGTGACTATAGAAGTTGCAATTGAAAAATCAAAAGTCTGAAGTATTTAAGATATCTTGAACAAGCACGACAAGAAAGCTAAAAATGAAGTGAAAGTGAACAAAATTGACCACAACAAAACATATAGTGTACCCCTGGTTGAAATTTGTACCTGAGAATATACAGGAGAAAAGTCAGTCTGCCTCATCCTATAACTACAGAAGAGGGTAGGTACCATACAAAACAAACTAACCTTTCAACTTTTTGTTGAATTTCTTCTGTTTGGCTTTTTCTCTGTTCTCCACTCTCTGTGTTTTCGCTTCTTCCAGTTTCTCTTCACTCCCCCACACTTCCATAGCTCTTTTGTGAACCTGAAGCCAAAGTGTGATAAAATTAATCAATCCCATCATAATATGTAGGCCTCTACCAAAGAAACAGCTATTCTTAAACAAAGAAGTTAAACACACAAAAGTGAAAGCACAAGTTTCTCTAATTCTAAAATACTTCTGAATTCAAAGCAAATTTTAAGCAATTAACTTCCTAAAAATTACTCTTTCATAACGACAGGCAACTTCACTTTTGGTTTTAAAAAAAAGGCATTTTGAACAGGGAAACTTCATAATCCTCTTTTAATTATTTGCTTTTATTTACCTCTTCAAACAAACAACCCATCTTGCTATGAGTACACATAATTAAATAGAACTTTTAATCCCCTAACGCAACTGATGTTGTCGAAGGAGTGAAAAAAACACCAACTCATCTGAAGTTCAACTTAACAGTAGGATTTGTAAAGAAGAAGAGGTGTTGGGATCCGAGTAAAAGATCAACTTAACCGAAGATCAACTCAAGCGAGCTCAATACAAGCGGAGTCGACTGTAATTGTCCCAGCTTCTAATCTCAACTATATCAAAGTTTCCCTTCCAATAAGTATAAGCCTTCTTTTATGATAGAAAATACCTGACAGTGTAGAAATAACTTCATGTCACCCCAGTGTGAATTGTGAGGATTCTTGCGAACGATATATTTCAGCTCTGGTTCCCTTTTATCAAAGTCTTCATCCTTTAAAAGGTAAGTGGTCTTTGCATCAGTCTTTGTGATCAGGCTGTCTGAATCTTCATCTCTGTATGAAGATGAAAAAATACCAAAACATGAACATACATATATCTAAAAAAGCAAAGCGAAATCAAGTTAGTATATTATGATCTTCCCCCCCCCCCCATCTTCATCTACGTTCATCTACGATATGCACCGTTAGCGTGAAACAGAAGGTGATGGCAGCTAGTAAAAAACCATATATATACATGTGAGGTATCGTGGTGAAATCAGGCGCTCATCAAAATAATTAAATAGAAGAAATCAGCATTTTTTAGGCCCGCTTTGTAGTTTTTTTCGAATTTTTATTTTTTGCCTCAACACCTTTTATGTCCATTTAAAGATACATTTAGGTGTGGAATTTATTGAATAACATTTATTAAAGGCACAGAAAATGTTAATTTGCAGTTTCCAAGGACTTTTGAGCTTTGGAAATCACCAAACTTTAGTGGCCATTTTTTCTCTAATTTTACTTTTGAAAGCAGGCGACCTCACCTCCTTCAAGCACAAATATCTCAACTTCTATTCAAGATAGATGGGTGTTTTTTCCAACAAAAACAAGGCAAATCAACAAGTTTTAAGATGATACAGATAACTCCATATGCCCAAAATCTGACGAGTGCATGCTTCCACCGTGTCGTGACACAAATGTTTTCCTGTTGACCTAATTTCCTAGTCCCTTTGTAGGCAATAAAAACACAGCTCTAGTTACGGATCAGTACATGTGAGCACGTTTTCCAGATACGTACCGGCATTTGTCACACACAGGATGGTCAAATTTGCTGTACAAATATGAGTCTAGGAATTCCTTGTCACACTCGAGACAAAACAAGTTGTCTACTTCAACAACTGGCCCTGTGAGAAAATAAAAATACATCAAAATAAGAAAACACAATCAAAATTAGTCTCAAAATAAAGTGCAGGTGAACTTATCCAAGATATCCATTGTCGAGGAGAAAAGTGGGTTGTCCTAGACACGCGGACATCTTGGACAGTATTATTATAAGATAAAAAAATGCAAGGTTGGAAATGGGAAGTGGTCTTCACAGATGACTGTCATAAACAGGCGGCCGTTAGAGCAGATTTTATTAATTTTAAAAAAAACAATATAGAGCATGAACATTTGTGTAAAATTTGCAGTATCATATAATTAGTTTCAGGATCAATACTTTCATTTTATAACAAAGGCGCAGGGATAATACGGGTAAAAAGCACAAAACCAGCTACTGATAAACACTAAGTTGCAATCCTTTAATTAAACTTTAAATATCTTAGAGAACAGATGTTTAAATGCACAGCTTATTGACCTACACTAATAAAGGAAAAATTATGCACTGTAATATTAGTACTCGTATTTTCTCATTTCTTTTAAAAGACTTTAGCTTAATGTCCTTGATCGCAAAATGATTTTTTAAAAGTACATGTATTTTTAAATTGGAGATAATTATATAATCAAAGGGAAATAAAACTGTACAAAGGAAGAAAATACTGATTTTGATGTAGAGAAAATACAAGACCTGGTTCATGCACAACTTTCAGATCAGAATTCTTCTCAGTCTTGCTGCTTGCAACAACCCCATCGGGTTCTTCAAGGAAAAAGCCAGCACCAGTGTCAATTTCAACAGCCGCACGTTTTACTTTACTTTCAACATCACTGCAAGAGAAAAAGGACACATCTTCTTACTTTATATTATAACAAACATCTCTTTTTAAACATACCACCATTTGTGGCGTAATGATTGGGCACTTTGACTTACAGGCAATAGGCCTGAGTTTACCTCCCATGAGGGATTGTTTGATTGTGTAGTTTATTAAGTAACTCCAGTTTTTCTGTTGGGACACAGTATTCTACATAGCTCGGGTTGGCTAGCCACATACACAAAATACACCAAAAGGTGGCCCGAACCAGCAGTTTGAGACCAAAGGTCCTGTATTTGGAGGGCACCTGTAGAATTATCTGTCATGTCAACACGTGTTTTTCCTGGATGGTCATGAAATTAACGTCTTCAATGACCCCAACATGATGGAGGAAAAAATATATTGGTGCCTCTATTTCGGAACTGAATATCAAGAATTTGATATTTCCATCAGTAGAATGGTAGAATGAAGTAACTTGAATACTTTTTTTGTAATGATAACACAGTATTTTTCAATAGCCTGACAGTGGTTCAATGTCACTTCAACTGTGATATGATAGGAGATCACTTTAAATTCAAAGTCCATCTCTGGTAGGTCAGTACAAAGCCGGGTGACAGCCTTTTTCAACAATTCAAGCGGTAAGATGCCCTGTTGATATCAGCATTGTAATGGGAAGACTATTCGCTGTTGTACACAATTGTAAAAGACATGACTTTAAATATCTGAGTGGGGAAGTCCATTTCATTTAGTATCGATCTCTAGATTTCTGCTGGACAAGGTAGAACTGGTTTGCTTCTCTTATATGATCTAAATTTGGTCAATGAGAACTTAAAATATTTGCAACCCACCCAAAAAGTAAAACAAAAAGGCATCTTGATTCAGCTTAAAGAAAAGGTGATAGACCTACTTATTTACTACCCATCTAAATATCTTAATATAAGGAAACAATTTCTAGCTTAAAAACATGACAAGCTCAAAAAGCAAACTCAGACAAACATCCTCTATGATTTTTACACAACACAGCTATGTCAATGCCGTTTCATTTGATGGACTACCATGATGATGTGTTCTACTATAAAGTCAATGTTGGGCAATTTTATACAATCATTCCTACATCCTAACGCATTACTTTAAAAAAAACCAGCATACCCAGCCCTCAGAACACCCCCCCTTTCCATTTTGAATATAGCCAAAGACAGTCCATAACCTGTATAAAAGAAGAGGAAAAATGTTTCATATCATGGATTGTAGTGGACTAGTAGACAGACAAGTTGTGCAGTTGTCAGACTGATCCTATGAAAGACCATCAAGTAGCACAGAAACATTATGGGGGATTGTCACATGGACCAGCACCTCTACACATTTACACAGACAAAAATCATCCCTCCTTATCAGTAGAAGTAATATTGAATACCAATTCTCCTTAGCTTCAAGAAGATTGGCCCAAAAGCTTCATCTTTTATTCCTACCCACTGTCTTACTTTCCCTTAAAAGACAACCATCTAGTTTCATGTTTTTCTCTTCAAAACTGGCAAGACTCTTTAGACTCAAATAAAGCTCAATAAAATTACCAACCAATAATTACAATTACACTGACCTATTGTTTCCTTTCTCATGAGATCGCTTTGTCACCTTCGATTTTCTGAGTTGTAAAGCCGTTGCCTTATTTTTTTCAATGCGTGCCTTCTGAGCAGCAGTCAAGGGCTTCTCAGCAGAAGCCATGATTTTTGTTTACCTGTGCAAAAATGAGAAAAACAATATAAATTTAAAAAAATAAAAAATTAAATCATTTAGAATCAAAATTATAAAGAAACCTGGAAAGAAAGAGAAAAAGCAAATATGTTGATACAAAGTTTGTATTTTCCCTTTATTTCAATGCTTTGCAATTACAGTTAAGTTTTTCTTGAAAACATTTGACTTGCACAAAAAAAGATAAAAGTGCATTGTAGGTGGTACATTATAATGATTATTGGACTCAATGTACAACAATAACATGTTATTACCAACGTTTGTAGCACATTGTTAGATCCAATGTACAACAATAACATGTCAAAACTTGCATTTGTAGCACATTATTAGATCCAATGTACAACAATAGCACGTTAACACCTCCATTTGTTTGTAGCACTTGTGTTCGTAGCACATGTATAGCAACACAAGAAACATGTCCTCGTTACGAAACCTGTTCCAAAAAACAAATTCATGGACATAGGATGGGAAAAGATCACGGGATGTGCCAAACTGATTGCTCACAAAGTGATGCTGATAAAAAAATGAGAGGCATCGTGGTGAAATCAGGCACTCGTCAAAATAATGAAATCAAAGAAATCAGCATTTTTCTTTCTAATGGGCAATTTTTAAATTATTTTTTTTTTGGGCTCAACACCTTTCATGCCCACAAAAGAACACATTTCTGTGTGGATTTTACTGAAAATCGTTGATCAAAGGCACAAAAAATTGTAAATTTCCAGTTTCTAAGGACTCTCAGGCTATGAAAGTTAACAAACTTTGGCGGCCATTTTCTCGCTAATTTTACCTCTGAAACCAGGGGACCCAGACCTCCTTCAATCGTAAATATTTCGACTTCTATTCAACATATATATGGATATTTTTTTTACCAAAAGGAAGGCAAATGAGCAAGCTTTATGATGATGTGTATACCAAAAACCTTATATGCCCAAAAATTGACGAGCGCCTGGTTCCACCACATTGCGACCAGTGGCGGTGGGTGGACCAAGATTTGGGTGGGGCTTAGGTTTCTTCCACTTCTTTATCACCAAAAAGCAAGCAATAAGAACAAAACAGTGATGATTTTGCTATACTCACTGCGAGCCACGGCATTTTGAGAACCATTCAAACGAGAAGAGTCACCTTTGTCTTCCATCTCTTTGTTCTTAGTTAAAGTTAAGCTTCTGGATGGTAGGGACGAAGCCGTCTCACCTCCAAATTTCTCTAATTAGTTTTTATCTGAAGAAAAAGTTGCCTCCAAAGTGGTTTGATGTAATTAATAACTGTTAAATCTCAGCGGCACAAACACACAGCACTCCAAACACATACCGTCTATGAGGTGGATTGGGTTGTGTTGTTGCGGAAAATAGAACGCGCCTAACAAAGGCCCAATGGGCGCATAGGTATCTGTGTCACTAGGGGAAAGTGTGTCGTAAACTTTCACCCCATTGTCAGGGCTGGGAGAGCGTGAGCCCGCTGTGCAGTGTTATTTTTTTAAAGTTTTCTACCTTTTAACAAGAAGAGTTTCATTAAAGACGGGCGTGGGAACCGGCTTATTCTTTCTGAGCCCTAACGACATTTGATTGGCTGTTAGGTTACTATAGTTGTAAGCAGTGACAACAATGATTGGATAAACGGGCAAGCCGCCAAGCTGATAACTGTGTGTTCATTGCGTGCGATCATGACGGTTTCAACTGCTTATTTCGTTATTTAAGAAACTTTCATGAACTAAGGGATAGAGTAGGGGTGGGGACGGGGTGGGGGTGAGGGGCTCAAGCCAGTAAGCCCTTCACTACCCACCGCCACTGGTTGTGACACAAATGATAATTGACTTGCACCAACATTTGAAGTGTCTATTCAATTAACATTATTGTTGTACATTTGGGTCCAATAATGTGCTTCAAACACAAGTAATAAATAACATGTTTTTGTTGTACAGTGAGTCTAATAGTTTACGCACCTAAAATGTACTTTTACCCCCAAAAATGGTTACTTCTCTGGAAATGTGGTGTAATCAAATACCTTATTAACCGAATTCTTCAAATCTTATAAAATGTTGGAAAGTGAAATTATATCGATTTTATCAAGCTGAGGGCGGAGCAATATAGAATCTAGATTCTAGATCTAGATATCCTAGATCTAGAATCTAGGCAATATAGTACAACTGACAATATAATTAGAGTAGAGTCGATTTGGGTTCCACACAATTACAAAGGCTGTTTTACAATTACAAATTTAAAATTACAGGCTCAAGCCAACTTATTATAACCAACAAGTCCGGTGGCCTGATACTGAGCTTGTAGAAATGACAGTAATTACAATTGATGAGGGTGTCGGGTCTGTCTTAGTAATCACCATGGCCATGCCACCCCAACTCACTGGACAGTAAAGAAAGAGAAGAAGAGTGTGAGTGATCCTTACCTTTGTCAAAGTTTGTTCAATGAAATCAAAATAAAGAAGTTTATTTTAATTCCACTGACAAACAAGATATAGCAAAATACTACTGTTCTAAATTATAATTTCAGAATATGAAGCCACTTGCCAATTGAGTGTGTTCATTGAAGTTGTTGACACATTGAAGTTACAAGAAACAAAACACTACACACACACAGACCACAATATTGATGTCATTATGTCAGCACAATTTTGTCAGCTTTAATAGTATAGCAGTTCACGCAGTCATATCTATTATATCTTCGTACAATACGTAGCTAGATCTAGATCTGTAATTAAAACAACCGTTAAGCTAATGTTGTTGTTGTGGGG